CATACTTGCTATCCTGATGGAGGAGCTGTGCACATGAATAATCAAAAGAACGAAACAAACTTAAGCAAGCTTAAACATAACTTTGACCTAGAATAAGAAAATATAAGGAATAATTTTTAAAAAATGAATCCTCCACGTTTTCTAATTATTGCTTCTTTACTTGTCATTTTGCTAACATTTTTTTATATAAGAAATGTACATGTATTATTTTTCTTAAAATTTATTCCTTGTATTTTCCAACTCTAATGTAGGTCAAAGTTATGTTTATGCTTGCTAAAGTTTATTGCGTTGATTTGATTTTCATTTTCATTTGCAAAAAGAAATATATAAAATGCATATGTTGCAACAATTTAAAGCAACATGACGACAAATTTATTGTGGCCAGATATTACAACAACGCTAGAACAATGCATTCTATAGTTATTTTTTAATCTATTTACAGAGAATTATATGTCAAGTTATTGAATTATCGCTTCGCTTGTTTCAAATTTATGTTTAATAATTGTTGGGAGATGTTTATTTGCACTTGTACTTCTGTACTATCAGTTAACAAACTCGTTTAATAATATGATGATTACAGTTAAACTTTTGTATCAGTTATATAGAACAACGACAACAGATATGTTTCATCTGTTAGGGAAGAGTTTTACTTATACCATCACGTTCAGTGTTAGAGAAATTTTCTTTACTGTTTCGGCGCTATATGGCGTAAATTGTATTGGTGCGCCGTTAAACCAAATAAACTAGAAGATAACAGTTCCACTTAAAATATAATCTTAACTTAACTTCAAAAGTGCTAAAAACAACAATTTCATATAAAATTGAAACCAAAGAAAAACATATCTGAAAACATGGGGCTTAACAAACAGGTATCTGTCAAATAAAGTGTGGGCATATATTTTTTATCTGTCAATGGGACATCTTCATATTAAAATGATAAAGAACAGTGAAGACAATGGCCAGATTGCATGGATCAATAGAATCAGTTACCGCCTATGGTCAGAGGGTGTATGGCATCTTGATGAGCTAAATTAGTAGTTCACAAAAAAAACAAAATTCCAGTCAAGAAATAAAAACAAAAACAAGTAATGAATATGAAAATCATTTTGTTTCGTTCCTTTAAATGAAAATTGATTATTTCATACAGAAATTTAATGGAGAAACATTGTGTTGCAAAAGCGATTTAGCTTATAGCTTTATGAGCTTAAAATCAATAAGTATATGGCCATATATCATTAAAAACATCCATCGTCACGGTGGTACTACTTTTTGTTCAAAGCAAAGTGAAAAGAGTATTTACACACATACGAGTAAGTTTCCTTTTTCAATTTATTGATGGGCAGTGTGGCTTTGTAAACGATTATTTTTTTATTTTTTTAAAAACTGTGTATTATCAGGATGAATTCGGATACATTATTTTCTCTGCTTCTCTATTTGACAATTACAAGGATAAATATTAGTGATTATGTAATATAATATTTTTCGACGTCAAACAGAAATGTTAGAGTAGGGATACTAGGGATTTTCCGCAAATAATCCGTATAAACATGGAGTGTCAAAAATTCTCGACATAATTACTTGCAACGGCGACCAACAAATGTCTTTAAATAAAAAGTCTTCACGACAACGCAACTTCTTCTAAAACCAAATATGTAACAGTTTCCTGAAGAATATACGTGTAACGGTCTTTGGTTAGCCGCTCTAAATGACTTGATATTGCACCTTTTAATAATTTCTTATTTCGAAAATTCAGAGATATCCACCAAGAAAGCGCTCGGACCAGCTGTATTAATGTGTCAGAAAAAACGTGTATTTGACTATGAAATATGATTCAAATCTTAAATAATACGATCAGAAATTCATTAGATTATAAGGGAATTCAATTTCATGTCATATCATCTACAAATAGTCATGAAATCTAAACTTTTGAAATAAATTTGCATTTCTGGCGGAACACCCGTCGTAAAATGTTCAATGTGAGAAATATACATGTATATATTTAACTTGAAATATTACTTTTTTATTATCTTTGCAGGCTTTGTTAACTATAAAATAATTTTTTGAATTTACATCAATTGACCTGGAAAAATGGAAGAAGATGCATTAGCCCATATTGACATTGATCAACAACGGAATGAGCAGCGGGTAATGTTTTCATATGTTGGGGAATTAAATTGTTAAAATTCTAAAACGATTACACAGCATGCTTCAAACAAATGAAGATTAAGTCCAAACTATGACGAAATAATTCGTTATTTATATTAAAAGAACAGTCGTTTTCAAATGATCTCTTTTACTTTTCCTGTAATGCTCGCAGGAATGTTTTTCACAAAAATATTTTTATGAAAATATGTAGTGCATACTGGTCAGGAACTATCAACCGGACATTTTTTGAACATTTTTCCATACAGATTTCATAATTTTAAAGTTAGAGATATGAAAATTTGACACAGTACAGCTAGGTTCTTCTCCTAACTAACAAATTAGTTTGTTTATTTATTTCTGATTATATTTACACTTGCATCTGAGGCCCATGAATGAGGGTATAAAAAAATAACCTAACTTGTCCACACTACAGTACCATGTGACCGGACATATATGTTCATGTCATTGATTTAATTCAATAAAAGCTTTGGTGTTTGAATTTTTTATTTTTAACATTATATACAATATTTCAGCAGCAAATGCTGAAGTTTTTGATATTCTATTATTCACTCTGCAAATGATTATAGCTAGTATAAAAGGTATTGCACTTTAGACGTCCAAATTTTCAATGTCAATGTTCTTGAAAAAGACATTAAAATATTACCGTTTAAAAAAATGAAATAAATATAATTACAAAATTATAAAACAAACATGCAATTATTGTTGATAAAAAACCCCACTGATAGATTGACAATCACTGAACAAATGAAAAATTAAATCAGGCATTTTCGGGGCCAGGGAAAAGTACAAGAGCTACATTGGATAAATATTTACCATTGGAATCTGAAAATATTTGCCAGGAGCAGGGTGTATGTTTATCACTCAAATATTGAAAATACTACGAAAAACAAAACCGAACCTTGTGCGGGCTACAGTTTATGCAAAGGTTCATTACTTGTTCTTAACATCTATAATAACACAACATATATGACACTTTCCTCATAAATTATTTGCAGTTTGTTTGTCATATTTTAATGTGAAACTTCTTTTCTTGTCCATGTAGAGTTATATCGTACAAACTGTTGTCGATGTGAAGGTAAATAAGTGGTCCTTACCATTGTTAGCGTTCAGAAAATGTAATTATATCATTATAATAATATGTATTAGTCCGCTAAACAAACTGCGTTCAGAACGATTCTAGGAGAAGTAGATTGTGACAAGAAGACAGGCAATAAACAGCAGGCAATAACTATTTTATTTCCTTGTGGCTCATAGACGTGTGCCATCTCAAACGCCCAAATTGAATGACTAGGGGTGTGAGAGATACTTTATCATGAACAGACTCAATAAAACCGAGTCTGCATTAATTTTCACAATGTTGATACTTGTTTGTTGTTGTTGTTGTTGTTTATGCACTCCTTTTCGAGAAAAGCCTTACACTTTATTCTGGTTATGAAAAAATATTCTATTTGTTTTTATTATCTGATTATTTACCTCAAAGTCCAGTGACATATACCCTGCTTCTACCAAAAATGAGGTGCGCACTGTCAAGCAATAAAAGTACAGATCTACTCGCCAAAAGGTTGTTGAAACTGGAGCTCTTGTTGCGTCTTGGATTGTCATGGTACGTATAAATCAGATTTAAAATGATCTGTAACAGTAAAGCATAGAAACAAAACAGTACTTGCTTTTTTCAAGTACGACAAAGAGATATTATAGAAGAGTTTGCTTCGTGTTTCCATCAAAATTTGTTGAAAAACTTCATAATCTTTTATATTTGATTATACTGTAAATATGTTGTACAGCTTTGAAAAAAGAAAATCATCCCAGTACCGAATTGCAATCTTTCTTCATTATGTACCGGCCCAAGGTTGGTCGGGTATAGCGGGGGAATGTTAGCCGAATGTTTTGTTATCTTCTGATTCAGTGCTGTAGTATGGTTTTGCACTGCATTGCCTGAAGATGTCCAAATAGCGGGTTTGTTGTGAGGACAATTGGTTGTTGTATCAACACAAAGGTTTTCTTGAGATGAACATTCGTTAATGTCTATCTTACAAAGGTTTCGATGTGTATGTTGTTGTATTAGTGACTTGTGTTTCTTACAGGGTATGTATTGTGAGGTCTCTAGGCCCACTTTGATTGACCTAAAGCACAGATTTAAAGCCGGATATGAGGAATTAGCAGTGGCGCTGTCTGCTGGGGGTGCCGGGACGATCCCAGGATGTATTTTGGGTGGCATCCTTGTAGACAAAGTCGGTGCGTACTGTCATTTGATGATTGCAGTCACTCTAGATATTGCAGCAATTTGTGTGGTTTTGATGCCATGGGTTCCAACGGTACTGTACCTCTGGACACTGTTTTATATCTGGTCTCGTTGAGACCATTCACAACACAGGTAAAATTTTGAATATAGTTATTCTAATTACTTTAGTAACACTCTAATTACTTTAGTAACACTTAAACTCGGAAAACAAATATTTATATTTTGTTGATGACATTTTAATGAATTATGTCTAAGAAACATGGAGAAAACATGAAATTCCAAATATAAAGTAAACATACCACATGTATTTAATTTGAATCGTTATATTTTTTATTGAAATAAAAGTATTGCTTTGTTCTTCATGTTAAACCAATCAGCGCGAACTCGAATAAATCTTAACATTTGGAAAGACAAGTCAGCTTTCCCAATTATATTGATGCATCTTGGATATGGAATTGGATCATTTTTAGCTCCATTGTACTCAAATCCCTTCCTATGAGTTAAAATATACAATACATCGATCACGAATGAGACGTTCTACGGTAATGTTACTATCGAAATTACATCGAATTATTCTGATTTCAAAGAGGAAATGTCTTATTTGGAAAATTCGAGAGTTGAGTACGCTTTTGCTATTTCTGGAATTGCCGCAGCTTGTCTATCAATAGTTTTCTATATTTTACAAGTGGTAGAAAGCAAAGCTCTCAAACAAATCCAGAATGAGACAGGTTCAATAAAATCCAATGGTTATTTTGAAAATGACAATACAATTGAGGTAAATGGAGAGAGCAATAAATCTTACCTAAATATTTTAAGAGGATATGACTGGCGTAATAAATTAAGGGGGCTGTTACAAATGTTCAATCCGGCTGCATGTGCGAAAGGAAGATTTTGGTACGGATCAAGCATATTGTTTGTAGTATTTTTCTACTTTGGGAACGCTGGAGGTGGACAAGGATTTACTTCGAAATTTCTTCGTTCCTTTTCCATTGACCAGCTTGACTTCACAAATACCGACGCATCATTATTGAATACAAGTTTTTGGATCAGCTTTTCCACCGGCCGTTTCATTTTCTTTATCATAGCCAGAATGGTGTCAGTGAAACTCCTTCTACTGTTGGAGACGTCTACCCTTATGGTCTTTGCGATTTTTCTGGCAATCTTTGGATGTGACAACTCAACTGCATTATGTGTCCTTACTCAAGTTGTTGCATTCTGTATTGGACCGCTTTGGCCAACTGGTATTGCATGGACTGACTACCATATTGAGCTTACTGGAAATGCAATGGCTCTTCAAATGGTTGGCTGTGCATTTGGCTACATGCTCCATATGCGTTTAATAGGATATTTGTATGATTCTTTTGGGCCACATACGTACGTTTTACATGTTGCTGGTAGTGCAATTCTTGGTTTTATTTTAACCGTTGTCTTAGCGATTATTGGCGCAAAGCACGGGAATAGGTTTGTCCCTGAAAACATATCTGACACGGATGGAGGAAATGACATCGATTTTTCAGAGAAGGAAAACGAAAAAGGTTTTACAAAAACAGATGTCACTACGTTATAATTTTCTTTTGAATAAGATTATAATAATTTTTTCGACTGTATGTATATTTGTGTTTTTAAACTGTATGGGTGGTGGAAGACATAAATAATATTTACGTTTCGAATTGGCCCAGCCTACAAATATAGGTCAGATGTATGAAGGTGAGCGTGCCCACTAGAGAAATTCAGAAGGATAATGGTTAATAATTGTAGTTATATTGATTAGCGTCAATAAATTACCTTGTAAACCACAATTATCTACCTGGTTAGATTATCGTTCTTTAGAATGTGGAGGTATTTGAAATAAGCCATGTAAAATAACAAGTATATACTGTAACCTTGAATATATCGGATATATTTTCCTTCTATGTGAATAAACAATGAATGTCCAGATATGAATATATAAGTCGCAAACGTGAAAAAGAGAAAGTATTAAACAAAAATTTAAATTGAGGGTAAGAAAATACAAAATTTAATCATTTATGTGAATATGTTGCGGGTGATTATGGCACTGGCCTCTAATTTAATTGTAATAAGGGAGTATAAAGCTGCCTTACAGAAGGTCATTAGCTCTACTTGCCCCTACCAATATGCATGTAGATATTTTCTAAGAAACTTTTATATAACATAAAATGTTTTGATTCAACTAAACACGTGATAATGGTAAAAAATCCTTGATTAAGTGTCAAAACTGGCTACATTTTCTTTGGCCACAAAAACTTTACTAATTTATCTGAAACTATTTGCATTATGATTTTTCAAAAACAAGTATATGCGATTTTGTCATTTAGTTTGCATATTCTATAACTTGTAAACAAGTAAAACTAAATACGAGGTTAGAAATTTGTTATTATAATAAAATAACAAGAGTAACACGATGCCTTTAGTCTAACCAAACCCAAAAAGCAGATTTCAAAATTAAATAGGCGTGTATAGAAAAAGTTTTACTTAGAATGTGTTGTTTATTTATCTGGCTCAGGGCTCAGTACGACACATATTTCATTTGTTGGTGTCGTTTTGTACGATTGTATTGTGGTACAGATTGACATTGAAGGAGCGTTACTGAGGTAAAATAAAACATAAAAAATGAAATTCATACAAAGATCAAGAGAAGCATTTCGGATGAAGAAATCTGAAGAGGATGATAAAGAAATATACCTAGAAATATATTGAATCTCGAATGTTTTGTGCTACTCTCAGTCCGATTTAAGTGAAATGGTTCCATATAGATTAGTCTGGTAAATAATACACCGGTCGTACCTGAAAGCTTTAGATACTCTTAGGGTTTGGGAAATGATCTGAAAATTTGCACAGAAGTTGTTAGTCTAGACCTTCATTAAATGATACACAAATCTCGGAGAAATATTTCTAGACACGTCATGTCAAAAATTCTCGAGTCCTTTAATTGAACATTCTGATCATTAATACTTTGACCTTACTTCGGTGTTTTATTTGAAAGATGTGTAACACCACAAATATTTGAACATACATATTTCTTCTGATTCTTCAAAGTTAAAACTAGCCATATCAAATTTCTTTTTGAAAAAAAAAATGACACACGGTTTCTCACTAACATGCCTCATCGAGTGAGGAAAATATCATCGAACAAAATACCATTAATCATTTGTGACATCCTAGGATACAAGCATGCAAAATCAGTCATGCATATCTTTAGTGTTCTCTAGATATAGCACGCTAAGCAACACTATCAAATTTGCAATAAATGAAATAAATGTCCGTGACAATAATATGACACATTTTTTCATGAACAAATGTTGCACATTCACATTCTTTTACTGTGGTTTTTATGAAGTGTATAGTTGTGAACAGAAAACAACTTCATCATGTTATGTTGTTTTGACGAAGGCATTGTCTAAATAAACAATTAAATAACAATGTTTTTTTTTTGTTTTTTTTTTTCTTTTGTTTAAGAATAATTTTTAATACATTTGATTATAACTACATAGGAATAGCTACGACAAAATATGTTTTGGGTTTAGACTTATTTGTCAAATAATAAATAAGCACACATGTTTAAATGATCTTTAATGAACTTGTTCAAACATAAACAGTAACAATTAAACTTCATAATAGTAACGAAAATTTCATAAAACAGTTACTTAAGTGTAACATTTAAAATTGATATTCAAAATGTTAAACAATAGCAAACAGCGGTTTTCTAGTTATGTACAAATCAGGATTCAACTTGTCTATGATATATTTGAAAGAGTAACGCACATTGAACAATTTAAACTTTTTCTATGTGTTAAAAAAGTAACATACTTTATAACTAGAGTCACTACATCGGTATATTTTAACAAATACAGCTTTCATGGTGCATAATTAATACATTTCAAGTGTTATTTATATTTCGCTCTCAATTTCAATTAAACGATACTATAAGATACTTAAACATATTGCTTTTAACGAAGTCTAACGTACGGGATTTTGTTTTCAAAAACGGAAATTTAGTTCGGGAAACATATAGTTTACTTTAATGGCATCTAACACAATAACAACTTCTGCATTTGAGTTATTGTCCAAGGTTGTTGATTCTTTCCTGAATTGTTTGATGTTGCCGCTAACGTCAGCAAGTTTACATGTTTTCATATGGTTTTCAAAATAGGTCTGGGCAGATTTTATTGCGACCTTATAAAACTTAAACATTCTGCCATATTTGTCTGTTGGATTTGTTGGGGGCATTTGGCAAAGATTGTCTTCTTTCTTAATCCGCACTTATTAATAATTTGTGTACTGTAACAGAACTTGAGGGTAATCAATTTTATTTTGATATATGTTTCTCAAATCAAAAATATATGTTAACTATATATCATTATTTTTATTAGTTTATTATAATTTTGTGTGTAAAATTTCAGAAAAAGGGGGATTCATCGAAAACAAACGATAATAGTAGTAATAATGTACATGTACAATAACTATAGATCCCACAATGACAAGTTCGAAATATATCCAACAAATAATGACCTTTCCGGACAAATTGTGTACAGTTAAATAATTCGACAAAAGTAGATTCATTTATATCATATCATAACCTTATTTACATATCTACACATGACAAGCATTATAATGTCAGTATTTAAAGCTTCCATATACGACTGTCATGCATTACTTCATTTTGTTTGTTTTTTCTTTGACCTAGAGTTTGTTAATGTATTTAAGTCTACTTTATATGTAAATAAGCAAACCATGTATTATACATTTAATTAAAACAGACAAACTATAAGATGATCATGTCGTACAGTACAAGGAAAATAAATTATCGCCAGTGTCTCAAAAGCGTCACATGATTTTTACTTTTTGACGATTTTAAGAGAATGGATAATATGAAATGCAATATGGCCAATATATTAAACAATAGAATAAAGTTTTCTATTTCATCCGTTCGTAATAACCTCCTGCTACAGAAATACAAAGTTTCAGACGTTTAATTTTTAAGGTCGTTTGTTACTAACAGAATAATTATTCTGGAGAAAAAAAACGGGAGCCAATGATCTGAAATGTTGCACTCAAGTTATTTGTATACACCTAAGTATATCAAATGGAACATTTATCTTTTAGAAAAATGATTCCAGTCTCATCATGTTAAAACCCTCGTTTTTCTCGAAAATAAAAATCAAGTACTGAATCTCCTTTATGTGCAAGTGCGTTGAGATGCAAACAATACAGGCCTTTTATACCGGTCAAAGGATGAACTGTATTGAATTTTAATTATTTAGATAACCGTTCCGCGGGTATTGAGAAAAAAAAACGTACATAACCTTTCTATCACTTGTCAATCGCTTGGCAATGCATAATCGGCGAACATTTTTGGTCGACCAAATCGTATTGTTACACTTGAGATCTGGTGTAAATTAGTGAAACCAGCTTCCATCACCAGGCACAATATTAGAAAAACGGCCATCGGCCATTGTCATATTTAATAATATCAATAATAATATTCGGGCGCATTAAACTCGCACCTTCTTCTGGTCAGATGTAAGTAAATCAGGTATCTACCTGGCAGTTATTCGCCTTACTTTTAAAAGATTCCTAAGAAGCCAGGTTGACCTTTCTGATATCCCTGCGATAAAGGTTATCTGGGTAAGTTAAAGTCTTGAAATACCCGTGTATTTTTACGAAATAATTTTGCTTTAAAAACCTATTTGATTGTAACCACTTATATCTAGTATAATTATGATGCATCACAGAGCCAAGTCGAAACAATTGAATAAATTAGACGTTTTATAATTGTCTTAATTACTGCTGAGATCGGATGCTTTAAAAGGAAATATTTTTACGCGATTAATGTTGATGAAGATCTTAACCAGTAACGCAAAATTTCAGATCTTTTGCTCACTACGTTTTTCCAGAATAATTATTGTAATTATGAAAAATGAGCAAAAATTGAAAAGCGTTGCAACGCTTTTCACTCAAATCTGGCTAAGAACAGCACAAAATAAGATTTGCAATTAATTTCTGAGAATATTTCTTACTAATCTTTTGTATATCTTTCTGTTTTAAGAATCCCTACTGATCTATGAAAGAAATTTAAATTTCATTTTTTGGAGTTTTTTTTGACCTCAGTGGAGTTCCTTTAATTAAATATGTCATACATAAAATATGCTAATTTCATGCAGATTACAATATAGATAATTACTTTGTTTTTAGTGTGATACACTAAATGCCTGGATTAAAAATACAATAAACCTGAGCTGCATTTAATGTTCATGTGTTAATATTTTGTTTGCCATACACACGAAAAAATGAAAGTTGCAGAATATACTGATGATAACGATATTGGACAAACATACCGCGATGGCAAATTGCGAAAAGTTATAGAAACGGGCGCGCTTGTTGTTTCATGGATAGTTATGGTATGCATTGATTTAGCTTGAAATATCATTTATTAATTAGTTTATTTTTTCATGATCTTTTTTATTTAGCTTGAAATATCATTTATTAATTAGTTTACATACTTCATGATTTTATTTCCGTATGCAATTCTCGTACAGTACTACAAAT